AGAGAATTTGACTAAGGATGCATTCAAACTTGGCCTGCCATGGAGTCTATAGTTTGCCATTGTTTCCCTCTCGTCCATGCAATTCACAGTGTTCTGGAAAAAACTGAGAACTCTTTGGGAAGTTATGGTTCTCAAAATTATTACTTCTCTTTGGTTGGTCCTGGATACAGCCTGCCAGATCTCCCTTGGCTCCTCAACCTCTCACCTGCCTCTCTCCACAACCAATTAATCCATTTAGAAACAGAGTAGCAACGTATATTCCTAACTCAAGGAGGAATTCTAAATTCTGGGGCTGTAAAGCATCCAGGTAGGGAGTCTCCCCATCACATCTGAACTCCTCTTGGTTACGGAGAAAGGCCACACTGGAAAGATTAAGCATAATAGGTGAAATGTTTCCTGATGGATAAAGATTATCCCGATTTACCTAAATATTCTCCCGCAGGTAGACCCTAATTTCAATTCAAAAGAAGAAATCATTTAACTGTCTTTCTTTTCCAACATGACCCAGTTACTAGAGACCATACTTCGTTCCTCAGGGTCAAGGTCTTGAAAGTATCCTCCCCACAGGCCTGCAGCAAGAACACCCAAGGTGGAGCCAAAAGCTTTTGAAGACGAGGCAATACTGTAGTACTTAGCAGTAAGGTCTCATAGTTTCATATTTGGAGAAAAAGCACTTTTCTCTATGCAAGAACATGTACATCTTTAAAAATATTACTTTCTGGTAAGCAAATGAATCAATGAACTAAAGGTTATTATTACTGGCAGCCTTCCATTTTAGACGGGAGTCAACTCTGCCTTAAAAACACACTACGAAATGATTAAATAATTTCATTGCACATAATTTAAATGATTTTGGTAAAGTTTCACTTATATCGGCATCTCTACATTTTATATTCTGTAGACAAAGTTTTCCAAATTTTTAGAGAAGAATGAAGTATTATTTTTAGCTCTGATAAACTTTTAGATCTGATAACCCAAGGAATCACAGTAAAGTTCTTAAACAGACACATTAACTGTTTAAAGCTGCAGGAGTGTCATCTATGAAAATGAAATTAAAATTCAATGAATTGCATATTAGTTTCCTAAAAGAGTTCATCTAAAAGCCTGATTCACATTCAGAGTGAAATATTCTTTATCACTGGATCAAATCAACACAGCAAACAGTAAACTGCTACGAAAAGAGTCTGAAAGTTTCTTTAAAAGCCTTCAGGAGGCTTTTAAAACAAAACACTGTTATAAAAATTAAAAAATACAACCATTGGCACAGAAATAAATCTTTATGACATGGGTAAATTCAGAGCCTTAAATGCCTTCATTATTAATAAGAAAAATGAAGAAATAGAGGAACCCAGTATTCTCTTTTTTTAAAAAAAAAACCAAGAAAATAAATGACTAATTAATAAATATATAAAAATAAAATGGAAATCGATAATACAGAAAATGAAAAAAATTATAGGATGGATAAATGTATCCATTATCTGTTGTTTGGGTTTTGTTTTTAAGATTGAAAACCCCTTGTAAGATCAGTTAAAAATAAAAGAGAGCAAGGCCAAAAAATATATAAGATTAGAATGTGAAAGGAAATGCAGCTAGAATTACAGAATAAATTAACAGCCTTATAAGAAAATTTATCGATCAAATCTATGACATCAGATTTGACGATGATTTCTTAGCAAAATACAGACAAAAGAAAATAAAAATTTGAATAGGTAATTGTCATAGAAGAATCAAAGGTAATTAAAGACTCAATATCAAAAAGGCCCCTGGACAAGAGGCACACAGAGCTAAGTTTTATCCTATCTTAATTCAAAGTTTTAAAAACCAGTGTTTTCCAGTCTTCTCTAATGGTGAGCATCATCTGGGATGTGTATAAAAGGCACAGATAACTAGGTATCTTCCCTGGAAATTCTCATATAGCAGGACTGGTTAGGACCTAGCTATATTTGTCTAAGTCCTTTATATCTTCAGAGACATTGGGAACTGATTCTAACTCTGATTTAAACTCTTATAGGACGAAGGAAAAAAAAATTAAAAGGCTCGCTGGCATAGCTTTAATACTCAAATCTGATAAGGATATAAAAAGAAAACTAAAACAATAGATAAATCTCATTGATAAATATAGGTGCAAAAATTCTAAATAAAACACTAGGACACAGAATCCAGAAATTTGTCAAAAGAGAAATAAATACAGTTTAACTACACTGGGTTTATTCCAGAAATGTAAGGATAGTATACATTAAGAAATCTATCAACATAATAAGAGATACGAACAAATGGCTACAGAAAAACTTAATTATGTTATTAGGTAA